TCTGTCCTCAGTAACAGTGACGGGTTGTAACAGTGTGTGTTCTCCCTCTGCCCTCAGTAACAGTGACGGGTGGTAACAGTGTGTGTTCTCCCTCTGTCCTCAGTAACAGTGACGGGTTGTAACAGTGTGTGTTCTCCCTCTGTCCTCAGTAACAGTGACGGGTTGGACCAGTGTGTGTTCTTCCTCTGTCCTCAGTAACAGTGAGGACTGTAACAGTGTGTGCTCTCCATCTGTCCTCAGTAACAATGACGGGTTGGAACAGTGTGTGTTCTCCCTCTGTCCTCAGTAACAGTGCCGGGTTGTAACAGTGTGTGTTCTCTCTCTGTCCTCAGTAACAGTGACGGGTTGTAACAGTGTGTGTTCTCCCTCTGTCCTCAGTAACAGCGACGGGTTGGAACAGTGTGTGTTCTTCCTCTGTCCTCAGTAACAGTGAGGACTTGTAACAGTGTGTGTTCTCCCTCTGTCCTCAGTAGCAGTGACGGGTTATTACAGTGTGTGTTCTCCCTCTGTCCTCAGTAACAGTGACGGGTGGTAACAGTGTGTGTTCTCCCTCTGTCCTCAGTAACAATGAGGACTTGCAACAGTGTGTGTTCTCCCTCTATCCTCAGTCACAGTGTGTGTTCTCCCTCTGTCCTCAGTAACAGTGACGGGTTGTAACAGTGTGTGTTCTCCCTCTGTTCTCAGTAAGAGTGACGGGTGGTAACAGTGTGTGTTCTCCCTCTGTCCTCAGTAACAGTGACGGGTGGTAACAGTGTGTTCTCCCTCTGTCCTCATTAACAGTGAGGACTTGTAACAGTGTGTGTTCTCCCTCTATCCTCAGTCACAGTGTGTGTTCTCCCTCTGTCCTCAGTAACAGTGACGGGTGGTAACAGTGTGTGTTCTCCCTCTGTCCTCAGTAACAGTGAGGACTTGTAACAGTGTGTGTTTTCCCTCTGTCCTCAGCAACAATGAGGACTTGTAACAGTGTGTGCTCTCCCTCTGTCCTCAGTAACAGTGACGGGTTGGAACAGTGTGTGTTCTCCCTCTGTCCATAGTAACAGTGACGGGTTGGAACAGTGTGTGTTCTCCCTCTGACCTCAGTAACAGTGACGGGTTGGAACAGTGTGTGTTCTCCCTCTGTCCTCAGTAACAGTGACGGGTTGGAACTGTGTGTGTTCTCCCTCTGTCCTCAGTAACAGCGACGGGTTGGAACAGTGTGTGTACTCCCTCTGTCCTCAGTAACAGTGACGGGTTGTAACAGTGTGTGTTCTCCCTCTGTCCATAGTAACAGTGGCGGGTTGTAACAGTGTTTGTTCTCCCTCTGTCCTCAGTAACAGTGACGGGTGGTAACAGTTTGTGTTCTCCCTCTGTCCTCAGTAACAGTGACGGGTGGTAACAGTGTGTGTTCTCCCTCTGTCCTCAGTAACAGTGAGGACTTGTAACAGTGTGTTCTCCCTCTATCCTCAGTCACAGTGTGTGTTCTTCCTCTGTCCTCAGTAACAGTGACGGGTGGTAACAGTGTGTGTTCTCCCTCTGTCCTCAGTAACAGTGAGGACTTGTAACAGTGTGTGTTCTCCCTCTATCCTCAGTCACAGTGTGTGTTCTCCCTCTGTCCTCAATAACAGTGACGGGTGGTAACAGTGTGTGTTCTCCCTCTGTCCTCAGTAACAGTGACGGGTGGTAACAGTGTGTGTTCTCCCTCTTTCCTCAGTAACAGTGAGGACTTGTAACAGTGTGTGTTCTCCCTCTGTCCTCAGTAACAGTGACGGGTTGTAACATTGTGTGTTCTCCCTCTGTCCTCAGTAACAGTGAGGACTTGTAACAGTGTGTGTTCTCCCTCTGTCCTCAGTCACAGTGAAGGGTTGTAACAGTGTGTGTTCTCCCTCTGTCCTCAATAACAGTGACGGGTGGTAACAGTGTGTGTTCTCCCTCTGTCCTCAGTAACAGTGACGGGTGGTAACAGTGTGTGTTCTCCCTCTTTCCTCAGTAACAGTGAGGACTTGTAACAGTGTGTGTTCTCCCTCTGTCCTCAGTAACAGTGACGGGTTGTAACAGTGTGTTTTCTCCCTCTGTCCTCAGTAACAGTGAGGACTTGTAACAGTGTGTGTTCTTCCTCTGTCCTCAGTAACAGTGACGGGTTGTAACAGTGTGTGTTCTCCCTCTGTCCTCAGTAACAGTGAGGACTTGTAACAGTGTGTGTTCTCCCTCTGTCCTCAGTAACAGTGACGGGTTGTAACAGTGTGTGTTCTCCCTCTGTCCTCAGTAACAGTGACGGGTGGTAACAGTGTGTGTTCTCCCTCTGTCCTCAGTAACAGTGAGGACTTGTAACAGTGTGTGCTCTCCCTCTGTCCTCAGTAACAGTGACGGGTTGTAACAGTGTGTGTTCTCCCTCTGTCCTCAGTAACAGTGATGGGTTGTAACAGTGTGTGTTCTCCCTCTGTCCTCAGTAACAGTGACGGGTGGTAACAGTGTGTGTTCTCCCTCTGTCCTCAGTAACGGTGAATGGTTGTTTGTAACAGTGTGTGTTCTCCCCTTGTCCTCAGTAACAGTGACGGGTGGTAACAGTGTGTGTTCACCCTCTGTCCTCAGTAACAGTGAGGACTTGTAACAGTGTGTGTTCTCCCTCTCTTCAGTAACAGTGAATGGTTGTAACAGTGTGTGCTCTCCCTCTGTCCTCAGTAACAGTGACGGGTTGGAACAGTGTGTGTTGTCCCTCTGTCCTCAGTAACAGTGAGGACTGGTAACAGTGTGTGTTCTCCCTCTGTCCTCAGTAACAGTGACGGGTGGTAACAGTGTGTGTTCTCCCTCTGTCCTCAGTAACAGCGACGGGTTGTAACAGTGTGTGTTCTCCCTCTGTCCTCAGTAACAGTGAAGGGTTGTAACAGTGTGTGTTCTCCCTCTGTCCTCAGTAACAGTGAGGACTTGTAACAGTGTGTGTTCTCCCTCTGTCCTCAGTAACAGTGAGGACTTGTAACAGTGTGTGTTCTCCCTCTATCCTTAGTCACAGTGTGTGTTCTCCCTCTGTCCTCAATAACAGTGACGGGTGGTAACAGTGTGTGTTCTCCATCTGTCCTCAGTAACAGTGACGGGTGGTAACAGTGTGTGTTCTCCCTCTGTCCTCAGTAACAGTGAGGACTTGTAACAGTGTGTGTTCTCCCTCTGTCCTCAGTAACAGTGACGGGTTGTAACAGTGTGTGTTCTCCCTCTGTCCTCAGTAACAGTGAGGACTTGTAACAGTGTGTGTTCTCCCTCTGTCCTCAGTCACAGTGAAGGGTTGTAACAGTGTGTGTTCTCCCTCTGTCCTCAATAACAGTGACGGGTTGTAACAGTGTGTGTTCTCCCTCTGTCCTCAGTAACAGTGACGGGTGGTAACAGTGTGTGTTCTCCCTCTTTCCTCAGTAACAGTGAGGACTTGTAACTGTGTGTGTTCTCCCTCTGTCCTCAGTAACAGTGACGGGTTGTAACAGTGTGTGTTCTCCCTCTGTCCTCAGTAACAGTGAGGACTTGTAACAGTGTGTGTTCTCCCTCTGTCCTCAGTCACAGTGAAGGGTGGTAACAGTTTGTGTTCTCCCTCTGTCCTCAGTAACAGCGACGGGTGGTAACAGTGTGTGTTCTCCCTCTGTCCTCAGTAACAGTGAGGACTTGTAACAGTGTGTGTTCTCCCTCTATCCTCAGTCACAGTGTGTGTTTTCCCTCTGTCCTCAGTAACAGTGACGGGTGGTAACAGTGTGTGTTCTCCCTCTGTCCTCAGTAACAGCGACGGGTTGGAACAGTGTGTGTTCTCCCTCTGTCCTCAGTAACAGTGAGGACTTGTAACAATGTGTGTTCTCCCTCTGTCCTCAGTAACAGTGACGGGTTGTAACAGTGTGTGTTCTCCCTCTGTCCTCAGTAACAGTGAGGACTTGTAACAGTGTGTGTTCTCCCTCTGTCCTCAGTAACAGTGACGGATTGTAACAGTGTGTGTTCTCCCTCTGTCCTCAGTAACAGTGACGGGTGGTAACAGTGTGTGTTCTCCCTCTGTCCTCAGTAACAGTGAGGACTTGTAACAGTGTGTGCTCTCCCTCTGTCCTCAGTAACAGTGACGGGTTGTAACAGTGTGTGTTCTCCCTCTGTCCTCAGTAACAGTAATGGGTTGTAACAGTGTGTGTTCTCCCTCTGTCCTCAGTAACAGTGACGGGTGGTAACAGTGTGTGTTCTCCCTCTGTCCTCAGTAACGGTGAATGGTTGTTTGTAACAGTGTGTGTTCTCCCTCTGTCCTCAGTAACAGTGACGGGTGGTAACAGTGTGTGTTCACCCTCTGTCCTCAGTAACAGTGAGGACTTGTAACAGTGTGTGTTCTCCCTCTGTCTTCAGTAACAGTGAATGGTTGTAACAGTGTGTGCTCTCCCTCTGTCCTCAGTAACAGTGACGGGTTGGAACAGTGTGTGTTGTCCCTCTGTCCTCAGTAACAGTGAGGACTGGTAACAGTGTGTGTTCTCCCTCTGTCCTCAGTAACAGTGACGGGTGGTAACAGTGTGTGTTCTCCCTCTGTCCTCAGTAACAGCGACGGGTTGTAACAGTGTGTGTTCTCCCTCTGTCCTCAGTAACAGTGAAGGGTTGTAACAGTGTGTGTTCTCCCTCTGTCCTCAGTAACAGTGAGGACTTGTAACAGTGTGTGTTCTCCCTCTGTCCTCAGTAACAGCGACGGGTTGGAACAGTGTGTGTTCTCCCTCTGTCCTCAGTAACAGTGAGGACATGTAACAGTGTGTGTTCTCCCTCTGTCCTCAGTAACAGTGACGGGTTGTAACAGTGTGTGTTCTCCCTCTGTCCTCAGTAACAGTGAGGACTTGTAACAGTGTGTGTTCTCCCTCTGTCCTCAGTAACAGTGACGGGTTGTAACAGTGTGTGTTCTCCCTCTGTCCTCAGTGACAGTGACGGGTTGTAACATTGTGTGTTCTCCCTCTGTCCTCAGTAATAGTGACGGGTTCAGCCGGGCGGTCTCCATCCACTGACCCCCGTCTGTCCCCCCCCCCTCCCCCCAGTAACGAGTTCAGCCGGGCGGTGGCCGAGGAGTACGTCAAACACTTTGACTTCAGCGGCTGCTCGCTGGACGCGGCTCTCAGCCAGTTCCTGGAGCGGTTCTCGCTGACCGGGGAGACCCAGGAGCGCGAGCGGGTGCTGGTGCACTTCAGCCGCCGCTACATGGACGGCAACCCGGCCGCCTTCAACTCCGTCGGTGGGTCTGAGCTATACGCCACTCTCCGTCCTCTGTCCTCAGCGCCACTCCGTCCTCAGCGCCACTCCGTCCTCCGTCCTCAGCGCCACTCCGTCCTCCGTCCTCAGCGCCACTCCGTTCCTCCGCCCTCAGCGCCACTCCGTCCTCAGCGCCACTCCGTCCTCAGCGCCACTCCGTCCTCCGTCCTCAGCGCCACTCCGTCCTCCGCCCTCAGCGCCACTCCGCCCTCCGTCCTCTGTCCTCAGCTGCTCAGCGCCACTCCTTCCTCCGTCCTCCGTCCTCGGCTGCTCAGCGCCACTCCTTCCTCAGCGCTACTCCACCCTCCGTCCTCCGTCCTCGGCGCCACTTTGTCCTCCGTCCTCCGTCCTCAGCGCCACTCCTTCCTCCGTCCTCAGCGCCACTCCGTCCTCCGTCCTCCGTCCTCAGCGCTACTCCGTCCTCCGTCCTCAGCGCCACTCGGTCCTCAGCGCCACTCCGTCCTCCGTCCTCTGTCCTCAGCGCCACTCCGTCCTCAACTCCTTACACAACTCTGTCCTTAACTCCTTCCACAACTCCGCCATCCACTCCTCCATAAATCAACCTCAGATCTGCCCTTGAATTGCCCTCAACTCTGTCCTCAGCTCACTCCTTAGTGATTCTACAACTCCGCCCTTAACCCACCCTCATCTCTTCGCTTATTTCATCCTCAAGTCCTCCCTTAACTCCTCCCTCAACTCCTCCCTCAACTCCTCCCTCAACTCCTCCCTAAACTCCTCCCTCAACTCCTCCCTAAACTCCTCCATCAACTCATCCCTCAACTCCTCCCTAAACTCCTCCCTCACCTATGTCGGTGGGCCATGAGGCATGACGCGCGGTATTGGGTAGAAAATAGCAATGATGCTAAGTTATCATACACGAAGCTTTTGGTATAAAAACAAACCCCAATACATCGGTCAGTGTTCTCAGGGATGGACGTACGAAATGAAGAGAATTCTGAACAGTTTGATATAACTTAATAAATTTTACGACATGATGCTGGCAAATATATACCGGGTGTCCACGTCAAAAGTGTACCCAGACTTTTCTCCGTATTTTATCTTAAAAACATCACACTCACAAACAATTGCCCTCGTTTGAGAGCCAAGGCAATGGCAAAACATTTGCTATGCTTTTCAACTGTGTTAGGCACTCTGATGACCAGCGCGTGCCGTCTACAGCAACTGCTCTATATGAGCCGCTTTGCTTCGGGCCACCGCCGGCAGACGGACCGTGGCATGTGAAATCCCACAATGCCCCGTGCACTGGGGATCCCATTGCCTAGAAAAAGTTCAGACCATGCCTCTGCACAGCAAGAAAGTATCGGTTTGGCAATGAGGCATGGAGGGGGCATTATCGGCCCCTTCTTTTTCGAAGACGAGGCAAACACAACACCGTAACGCTAGAACGCTACGCCTCGGAGGCACTGGAACCATTCTGGCGAGAGCTGAAGCGGAGACGCGGGATCCGTCGCCATGAAGAATGGTTTCAACAAGACGGAGCGCCGCCTCACACCGCCAAACGGTCCCTGGAATTCCTGGAGGAGCACTTCCCTGACCGCCACATCAGCTTGAAAAGCGCGGTGGAATGGGCTCCCCACTCGCCCGACCTCAGCCCTCTAGATTTCTTCTTGTGGGGCTTTCTCAAGGACTTGTGCATAGGGTGGCAATCCAGGGTCGACCCAGAAGCTAAAAGACGTCATCATCGACGAGATCCGTCGCCTTCCTTCCCACATGGTCGACAAGGCGATCACCCACCTCCAGACGGTCCATCTGCCGGCGGTGGCCCGACGCAAAGCGGCTCATATAGAGCAGTTACTCTAGACTCACGCGCTGGTCAGCAGAGTGCCGAGCACAGTTGAAAAGCATAGCAAATGTTTTGCCATTGCCTTGGCTCTCAAACGAGGGCAATTGTTCGTGAGTGTGATGTTTTTAAGATAAAATATGGAGAAAAGTCTGGGTACACTTTTGACGTGGACACCCTGCACATTGAAAGCCTCAACGAAATAACGAACTTTGTGAAGAAAGTCCTTTTTAAGCTTTTCTTTATTCCGAACTTAACAATATGCCTTTAAGCCTAAGTAGATGATATGCTTAATGATCTGTCAGCGGTCCAGCAGAGCAAAGCCGTATATTGGATCGACTCTGTGACCTGTCTGCCTCAGCTCTTGTCTGCTATCTGGACCTGCTCTCCATCAGCCGTTAGCCGCCACTGAGTTACCCCCCCCCCCCCCCCCCCGCCGCCCCTCCCACGGCAGACGCGTGCCACACCCTGACCTGCGCGCTGATGCTGCTCAACACCGACCTGCACGTGCAGCACGTGCCGCGCAAAATGACCTGCGCAGAGTTCGTCGACAACCTGTCGGAGCTGAACGACGGCCGGGACTTCCCCGAGGAGACGCTGCGGCGGCTGTACCAGGCCATCCGGGCGCGGCCCATACACTACGCCGCGTGAGTTAATACCCTACACAATACCCTACACAGCACCCTACACAACAACCTACCAGGCCATCCGGGCGCGGCCCATACACTACGCCGCGTGAGTCAATACCCTACACAGCACCCTGCATAATACCCTACACGACACCCTACATAACGCCTGCACAACACCCTACACGTCAACCTACCAGGCCATCCGGGCGCGGCCCATACACTACGCCGCGTGAGTCAATACCCTACACAATACCCTACACGACACCCTACATAACGCCTGCACAACACCCTACACGTCAACCTACCAGGCCATCCTGGCGCGACCCATACACTACGCCGCGTGAGTAGGTACTGCATTGAAGCATGAGACACGTTACATAGTTACTTTTCAAATTCACTATGCGAGGCCGGCATGCAATGTATGATAATAAGATATGAACTGAGCATTGTGCATTGTGTTTCTCACTAAAAGTGATTCATTTTTAAGACTGCTTGCGATGCCCCAGCGCTGCTGAGGGTGCACACTGCTGTTCCACCACTGATCGTGTGCACTATGCTGTCTCCCACAGCGATGACGAGTACGAGGAGATGGAGGCGGCTCCGGCGACCGGCCTGTCACCTGGCGGCGGCGTGACGAACCCGTTCCTGGCGGCGCCTGATCCCGATAAGGCCACAGAGTACAAGCGCGGCTACATGATGCGGAAGTGCTGTCTGGACGCCGGCGGGAAGCGCAGTGAGTACTGGACTGGCCCCCGGTTCATAACAGGAATTACTTACGGTGAATCAGGATCAGAATCAGTGTATTCAACGGCATCCTCAACGTAGACGAGGCTTTTCATGAGTCGCGTCAAAGGTAAAGATAAAAGGTGAGCAAAAGACAAAAGAATATGATGAATAAAACATTCATACAGTGACAAGATGAACACCCGCACAGCTAGCTACACATCATCCATTCATGTGTCACTGAGTGCGGAGCTCAGTGCGCGCTTGAAACCGGCCATAGTCACAGCTCCCCTCACGGCACTCGGTCAGTTGTTATATTTTCGTGCACCTACGTTGGAGATGCTCCGCCAGATTTGGCGTATTCGGTGCCAATTCCGTTTCCTAACGCTGGAGGCCGGAGTACCTAAGTCACGCCATCGAAATTACGGAGCATCATTTACGGCAAATGCTGGATTCTGGACCACTTGATGCCATTTGCGTTTCAAGAAGCGACGTAATTAACGGCAAATATTTACGAGGCCCTGGTCAGGAAACTGAGTCAGTACTTACCAGGCAGCGCAGTGAGTGCCGGTCAGACGGCGCAGTGGAGTGGGTGCCGGTCAGACGGAGGGGCGGGTGCCGGTCAGACGGCGGGATGGGTGCCGGTCAGACGGAGGGGCGGGTGCCGGTCAGACGGCGGGATGAGTGCCGGTCAGACGGAGGGGCGGGTGCCGGTCAGACGGAGGGGTGGGTGCTGGTCAGACGGCGGGGCGGGTGCCGGTCAGACGGCGGGGTGGGTGCCGGTCAGACGGAGGGGCGGGTGCTGGTCAGACGGCGGGGTGGGTGCCGGTCAGACGGAGGGGCGGGTGCCGGTCAGACGGAGGGGCGGGTGCCGGTCAGACGGCGGGATGAGTGCCGGTCAGACGGAGGGGCGGGTGCCGGTCAGACGGAGGGGTGGGTGCTGGTCAGACGGCGGGGCGGGTGCCGGTCAGACGGCGGGGTGGGTGCCGGTCAGACGGAGGGGCGGGTGCTGGTCAGACGGCGGGGTGGGTGCTGGTCAGACGGCGGGGCGGGTGCCGGTGGGTGCCGGTCAGACGGAGGGGTGAGTGCCGGTCAGACGGAGGGGCGGGTGCCGGTCAGACACCTTGTTGCTGTGACTGGGGACGGGGGTGTAGTGTATCGGGTCCGAGGCACGGCCTGGGCTCCCCGGTTGCACGAGGCTGCCGTGCCCCGCTCGGCGCCGGCCGGAGTTGCCAGTCAAGGAGATACGGCCGGCCGTGCCGCAGTGTCAGTGTGTCGCCCTGCTGTCAGTGTGTCGCCCCGCAGTGTCAGTGTGTCGCCCTGCTGTCAGTGTGTCGCCCCGCAGTGTCAGTGTGTCGCCCTGCTGTCAGTGTGTCGCCCCGCAGTGTCAGTGTGCCGCCCTGCTGTCAGTGTGTCGCCCCGCAGTGTCAGTGTGTCGCCCTGCTGTCAGTGTGTCGCCCCGCAGTGTCAGTGTGTCGCCCTGCTGTCAGTGTGCCGCCCTGCTGTCAGTGTGTCGCCCTGCTGTCAGTGTACCGCCCTGCTGTCAGTGTGTCGCCCTGCTGTCAGTGTGTCGCCCTGCTCGGCGCCGGCCAGAGCCGCCAGTCGAGGAGGTCCAATGTAATCGACCATCAAATGCTGCGACTGAAGATGTCCCATCACCTTCCACGGTGCCTTGTCACGTGGATTCACCACTTCCTCCGAGACCGACGCGCCTGCGCGGAGGTCAATGGGTCACGGAGCCGGAACCGCCCATTCCGAGCTGGCCTGCCGCAGGGGTCCGTCCTCGCACCGACCCTGTTCACGCTGTGGTCGGCGGACCTCGTGGCGGCGCTGAAGCGGATCCCGGGCACCTCTGTCTTCCTGTACGCCGATGACACCGCAACACTGTGTTCCGGCGGTACGATAGCGGGAGCCAGGGACCGGGCTCAACAAGCGGCGGATGCCATCGCGAAATGGGCCCGCGACTGGAAGATGCGGCTGGCAGGAAGCAAAACGCAAGTTTTAGCCCTGTCGCAGCACTACGTCGACGCCCGGGACCTGTACATTCACGTAGACGGGGCACGAGTGGACGCTGGGAGACACCTTCACCTTCTCGGCGTAACCCTGGACCGGCAACTTCACATGTGCGAGCACTGCGCGCGCGTCCGGAAGAAGACCAAGCCGAGGATCGCACAGCTCCGTAAGATGACCGGGCGTTCCTGGGGTCTGCGGGAGCCACAGCTGCGAGTAGTAGCCAACGGCTACATCCGCGGTGCCCTGTAATACGCGGCGGCTGCATGGCTCCCTGCAGCGTCCGAGTCCCACGTAGAGCTACTGGAGAGGGAGATGCGCGCGGCAGCCCGCGTTATCACCGGGTGCCCCGTGAGCACGCCGAAGGATCCGCTCCTCGCGGAAGCCGGTCTGGTTCCCGTGAGAGCACGCCGGGACCTGCTCGCTGCCAGACTGAGCTGTCTGGCAGCCTCACAAAGAAGCGGCGACCCACTGCGCGCGGTGGCCGAAGCAACGGCCCCACGGCGGCTCCGCACCACCACCGACTGGCGCGACACGGGGCGCGCGCCCTGGTGAGCGCGGGCGTGCGAGATGTACCTGTGGAGGAGCGCCTGCACGTCACCATCCCGCCGTGGATCGATGACACCAGGGTCCAGTTCAGACTTGACATCGGCAACCACATCAGCCGCACAGCACCACCCGACGTCCGGCGGGAGAGAGCGGAGGAGCATCTGGCCACCCTCCCAGACGACGCCGTATGGGTGTGGAGCGACGGCTCGGCGGAGGGAGGTGTCTCAGCCGGAGGGAGTGGAGCGCTGATAATCCTCCCCTCAGGCGAGGAACACGAGCTCCGAACCCCTGCAGGCAAGATATGCAGCAGCACCCGCGCCGAACTGGTGGCGATCCGCGGGGCACTGGAGATGCTGCTGCGGCTGGAGGGCGGCCTGGCGGAGAGCCCGGTCGCGTATTCGCCAACTGTATTACACGAATCGGCCCATCAACTAGCGACATCTCTAGTGTGACGTCATAGCCATCCGCCGCGACAATGCATGCATTGAGGCTAGATTTGAGTTGAGACTATTTTTGCATTGTATATGGCTATCAGACATAAATGTGTCGCCGTAGCCGAGTGGTTAGAGTCTCGGTGTGATGGACGACAGGTCGGTGGATCGATTCTTGCTTCAGCGGTTCTTTCCTCTTAAAAAGAAGTCGGTCGTAGACGCGCATTTTTGGCCCCTACGTTCGCACGCCAATATCGTACGCCCAATAAATCTCTGACAAGTGTTCATCTGATTAAGGAATAAGTTGCAAAAGAACTGCAGTTGCAGTATATACCTGAACTATCAATTTTGTTACGGCACTGTCGATATTCGTCAAAGTCGGAAGAGCTATTATGAAACACACTCGAATGACAACGGATTCCTGTATTATTTCATCGATCAGATAAGACATGTATAGAGATAAATTGATGACAGCCCGCCGTGAGCATGCAACTTAACAACCAGTCCCAAGTTATCTTCATAAACGTCTAATATAAATCTTTTGACTTTAACTAGATTCCAAGTAAGAGGACTTAGGTATCCCCCTGGCGGCTGAAATGTAAAAGTTATAGTTAGGGCATAGCTCCTATAGATGACGCTCTGACGGCTGGAAACTGATTATCTCGTCCCGTGATTACGCTAACAGCTATGCCGAACCTTTTTTTGTGCATGGTGATTCTTACACGAAAAGCTATCTAATAGCCTGCTTACCAGCGTGCGATTTTTACTTTTCATCTTAGGTTTCGCTACTTTTAGGTACTTTACCTTGCCAAGTGCCCACCTACTTTCAAAAGGTCAGCGCCGCCCCTGTCAATGCTGCGTGCTATCACCCATTGGCAGTGAGAAATATTGATCAATGAATGGCCATCGCCCAGCACCATTTGTCTTTCCATTGGCTACGTTCGCATAGTATGCACTATGCATTAGTGATGTCAATCACAGAAAATCAGAACACCGCTACCAAACCAAATACAAACAAAGACCATTGGAAAATACCGAAACCGAACCAATCGGTTGGACTGCAAATATCTATCTTATGCAACATATTCATAAGAAGAATGCCTACGTCTGATTTCTTAGGTGCACGCCGTTACAAATGTATAAAAAACTCACAATGACAGATGACACGAAAATCGAAGTCGCCGAGTGGATTCGAACCACCTACCTCTGAATCACCAGTCCGTTACTCTAACCACTTCGCCACGGCGATAATGTACCCCATGTAGCTTAAATGTCAATAACTTAAAACCTATCTTCAATAGACGCTACCAGGGCGAGGACCGAAAGTATGACGCCACGCTGACGTCACTCAGGAGGCAAGCTATTGGTTGGCCGATTCGTGTAATACAATTGGCGAATACGCAGCCCGGTCATCGTCTGCGCCGACTCGCAGGCGGCGCTCGCCACACTGGCGAGTGGGGCTGGGAGCCAGGCGACAGCACTCGGCGCCGCCGTATGGCGACTGCTCCTGGCGCTCACGGACGGAGGACGCGGAGTCTTCATGCAGTGGATCCCAGCGCACTGCGGAATACCCGGCAACGAGAGAGCGGACGTGCTGGCTAAAGAGGCATCCAGCCTGTCGCAAGACGTCGTCCCAACGGACGTCCGCTCGATGGTGAAGGCAGTCGGCCGCTCCGCCACCAAGGCATGGCGTCGCAGCTGGCCAGACAGCTTCTTCAAAACTATCATGGGAGACCGGATGCCGATGCCGGTGCTCCTGGAGTCTCGCGACGAGGCGGTCAACGTCCACCAGCTGCGGGCGGGACACTGGAGGAGCCGCTCGCAGAGCTACCTTCACAGAATCGGACGCCACCCCGAGCGCGACTGCCCACAGTGCAGTGATTTGGCCTGCCCGGCGGCGCGCTGCCTGGTGTGTCGCGAGGGCCCGGACACGCCGGAGCACGTGCTGCTGAGGTGCCCGTGCTTGGCTAGCGCGAGGCTCCGCCTACTCGGCAATATCAAACTGGACCCTACGCAGCTTCGGGACGGCGGGGCCGTGGCGGCCTTGAGCCGCGGCTACCTCAGTCACCAAGAGCCGTTGGGCTACGGTCGGCCGTGAGCCGACCCGGGGACAACAACAACAACAGGAGGTCCGGCCGGCCGTGCCGCAGTGTCAGTGTGCCGCCCTGCTGTCAGTGTGTCGCCCCGCAGTGTCAGTGTGTCGCCCTGCTGTCAGTGTGTCGCCCTGCTGTCAGTGTGTCGCCCCGCAGTGTCAGTGTGCCGCCCTGCTGTCAGTGTGCTGCCCTGCTATCAGTGTGTCGCCCTGCTGTCAGTGTGTCGCCCTGTTGTCAGTGTGTCGCCCTGCTGTCAGTGTGTCGCCCCGCAGTGTCAGTGTGCCGCCCTGCTATCAGTGTGTCGCCCTGCTGTCAGTGTGTCGCCCCGCAGGGTCAGTGTGCCGCCCTGCTGTCAGTGTGCTGCCCTGCTATCAGTGTGTCGCCCTGCTGTCAGTGTGCCGCCCTGCTGTCAGTGTGTCGCCCTGCTGTCAGTGTGTCGCCCTGCTGTCAGTGTGTCGCCCTGTTGTCAGTATGTCGCCCTGTTGTCAGTGTGTCGCCCTGCTGTCAGGTCCGGCCGTCCGTGCCGCAGTGTCAGTAGGCTGTCTGAGAGCAATAATCCCCGAGCTCCCCGGCGCCGTACACTGCAGTCCTGTGTACCGTTGTCTGGGGCCCAATCTTATAAAATGCCTTACTATTCTATTCACGGCATTTGATAACATTTACAGTGATGCCTGTGCTGACAAAGGGTTATTAGAGTCAACGAAATGAATCTTTAGACCGTCAACATACGATTGACTGAAATGCGTGAAAACCATTTTGCATTTGATAGCCGTTTTCTGCAGCTGAACTTCAGCCAGTGCTGCCAGTATCCATTCCACGCCGTTTATAAGATTGAGCCCTGGTCCGCTGATCATGGGCGACAGAACCGACTGTTAGAAAACAAACCGTACTCAGTGCTTACCACCCAGCGCAGTCTGTGAGTGCTCACTGGGCAGGCCCACCACACAGCGCGGTCTGTGAGTGCTCACTGGGCAGGCCCACCACACAGCGCAGTCTGTGAGTGCTCACTAGGCAGGCCCACCACACAGCGCAGTCTGTGAGTGCTCACTAGGCAGGCCCACCACCCAGCGCAGTCTGTGAGTGCTCACTAGGCACTAGGCAGGCCCACCACACAGCGCAGTCTGTGAGTGCTCACTAGGCAGGCCCACCACCCAGCGCAGTCTGTGAGTGCTCACTGGGCAGGCCCACCACCCAGCGCAGTCTGTGAGTGCTTACTGGGCAGGCCCACCACACAGCGCGGTCTGTGAGTGCTCACTGGGCAGGCCCACCACACAGCGCAGTCTGTGAGTGCTCACTGGGCAGGCCCACCACACAGCGCAGTCTGTGAGTGCTCACTGGGCAGGCCCACCACACAGCGCAGTCTGTGAGTGCTCACTGGGCAGGCCCACCACACAGCGCAGTCTGTGAGTGCTCACTGGGCAGGCCCACCACCCAGCGCAGTCTGTGAGTGCTCACTAGGCAGGCCCACCACACAGCGCAGTCAGTGAGTGCTCACTAGGCAGGCCCACCACCCAGCGCAGTCTATCAGTGCTCACTAGGCAGGCCCACCACACAGCGCAGTCAGTGAGTGCTCACTAGGCAGGCCCACCACACAGCGCAGTCTGTGAGTGCTCACTAGGCAGGCCCACCACACAGCGCAGTCTGTGAGTGCTCACTGGGCAGGCCCACCACACAGCGCAGTCTGTCAGTGCTCACTGGGCAGGCCCAGCACCCAGCGCAGTCTGTGAGTGCTCACTGGGCAGGCCCACCACACAGCGCAGTCTGTGAGTGCTCACTGGGCAGGCCCACCACCCAGCGCAGTCTCACTGGGCAGGCCCACCATCCAGCGCAGTATGTGAGTGCTCACTGGGCAGGCCCACCACACAGCGCAGTCTGTGAGTGCTCACTGGGCAGGCCCACCACCCAGCGCAGTCTCACTGGGCAGGCCCACCATCCAGCGCAGTCTGTGAGTGCTCACTGGGCAGGCCCAGCACACAGCGCAGTCTGTAGTGCTCACTAGGCAGGCCCAGCACACAGCGCAGTCTGTGAGTGCTCACTGGGCAGGCCCACCACCCAGCGCAGTCTATCAGTGCTCACTAGGCAGGCCCACCACCCAGCGCAGTCTGTCAGTGCTCACTAGGCAGTGCAGCGGGCCGGGTACTCGTCAGCCCATCACAGCTGAGCTGAGGGACGGTACACAGCAGCAGTGGACTGAGGGACAGGCTGGGCTGAGGGACACAGCAGTGGACTGAGGGACGGTACATAGCAGCAGTGGACTGAGGGACGGGCTGGGCTGAGGGACACAACAGTGGACTGAGGGACGGTACACAGCTGAGCTGAGGGACGGTACACAGCAGCAGTGGACTGAGGGACGGCCTGGGCTGAGGGACACAGCAGTGGACTGAGGGACGGCCTGGGCTCAGGGACACAGCAGTGGACTGAGGGACGGCCTGGGCTGAGGGACGGGCTGAGCTGAGGGACGGTACACAGCAGTGGACTGAGGGACGGCCCGGGCTGAGGGACACAGCAGAGCTGAGGGACGGGGGCGCGGCGGGCGTTAGTCGGTTGCAGCAATGTCTGCGCTGTTCCGGTGTACCTGTCTGTGCACTGTCTCCGCTCGGGTCCCGCTGTGTCCGAGTGTCCGACTCTCCCCTTCCCCACTCCCTCAGCTGCGCCGTGCCGTCGGTGACCGACCCGCCTCCGTTCTGTTTCAGCGGCGCTGGGCCGGCGCTCGTGGCAGATGTTCCACTGCACGCTCCGCGACCTGGTGCTGTACCTGCACAAAGACGAGAGCGGCTCGCGGCGGGCGGCTGCCTTCGAGCACCTGCACAACGCCATCAGGTCAGTGTCCCCCCCCCCCCCCCCACACACACACACTGTACAGAGCTACCTCCCCACGGTATCTCGGCTCTTGCTGCAGTGCCGTTCACCAATAGCACAGGCCACATGGGAACACATGCTTTAGTGTATCATTGTTTTTATTTCATGGCTTCTCTGTGGACATTGCATCTGAGCTCGCCCTCGATGCTGCTGGTATAGCGTTTGTTGTATGTATTTATGTAGAGCGTTACGCCGATTGACGTGCTGTGTTGTTCCCCTTGGGCCCCCTGACGGCGTGCTGGGCTCTGTGCAGCCGCGCTCTGTCCCACCAGGCACCTCGGCTAGCGTCGAGGGCCCCCTGACGGCGTGCTGGGCTCTGTGTAGCCGCGCTCTGTCCCACCAGGCACCTCGGCTAGCGTCGAGGGCCCCCTGACGGCGTCAGCTGGGCTCTGTGTAGCCGCGCTCTGTCCCACCAGGCACCTCGGCTAGCGTCGAGGGCCCCCTGACGGCGTGCTGGGCTCTGTGTAGCCGCGCTCCGTCCCACCAGGCACCTCGGCTAGGGCTCTGTCGGCACCTCGGCTAGGGCTCTGTCGGCACCTCGGCTAGCGTCGAAGCCGTTGCTGCTCTTATAATCACGTACAATGACAATGTAACGAGTATTTGGCCCACTTTTTCAGCAAGTTTGGCGTTTGAGGCGGATATGGATATGCAGCGATGCGTTCGGTTCCGGCTGTGGTTGTGGTTGTTGCCGAGCACCCCGTTCACCTCGACCTTGACCCGTCGGTCTCTGAGCCACTGCCACACCCAACTCACCATGCAGGCGTGGAGGCCCCGCTCCAGCAACCGCAGTCTGAGGTGGTCAACTTTGTCGTAAGCCCTCGCAAAGTCGAAAGCGAGGAGAACATACTTCTGCGCTGTGGCGCCGTCCTAATGGTTCTGGTGTCTCAGTGGGGGAGCTGCGGGGCAGTAATCGCCACGCCATGTGCGGATCGCCCACTATCGTAAATACAAATACAAATACAAATACACCTGTCTTGTACAGCCCTCTGCAAACTGCGTTGTAGGTTTTTTTCGATAAAACCGAGAATAACGCGGAGACTACGCTATCGGTTACTCGGAAATCGTAACAGCAAGACGCATGAGAACCCGCACCTTAGATTGACATTATCATCGTATTCATTTTCCATTCAGTTTGGCAACAAAACCCAAAAGTTTATATTTGCCCCCAAAACAAACTTTTGCATTTTATTGCCACACAAGGCGTATACTTTGCTTAGTGATAGACCCAATCGAAGGAGTTGAGCATGGCTCATCTATTTGCAGTGAGTTCCGACCGACTGATAACATAACCTTTGAGTTATTATCGGTTTTGTATAAAAACAGAATACCTACCAGGCAGTCTGCTGAGGGCTGTACCTCCTGCACGAGGCGGCCGATGCTGTCCTCCACAGAGCGGTGAGCTCTGAAGCCCACCTGCTCCGGCGGCACCATGCCCCTGCTCTCGCTGAGGTAGGTGAGCCCGGCCAGCATCAGTCGCTCCGCCAGCTTCCCGACGTGGCTCGTCAGGGCTATGGGACGGTAGCTGCTGAGGAGCCTCTTTCCGGCCTTGGGGATGGGATCATGGGAATCCGTGATTATTTTATCCGATCCGATAATCCGATCCGTGATTGTTTTCACCGATGTTTCTTGTTCTTGGTTTCCAAAATATACTGAAGTGAAGTGAAGTGAAGGAATCACTGTCGCCGCACGCCATTCTCTTGGAACTTCTGCTGTCGCCTACAAGCTGAAGCGTAACAGGGCGTAACAGGGCGCCACGCGCAGCAGGGCCAAGGTGCCCTCGGATACGGCTCGCCAAATGTCGCTAGCTCCAGACTGACTGTCCCGGCCGCTCGGCGGCCGTGTGTTTCAGGGTGCACCACGCGCTGGCCTCCAAGTGTTCACACGGCGGCCGTGTGTTTCAGGGTGCACCACGCGCTGGCCTCCAAGGCTGAGGACTACGTGAAGAAGCAGCACGTGTTTAAACTGCAGACGGCTGATCAGGCCGAGTATCTGCTCCAGACCAGGTCAGTATCTGCTCCAGACCAGGTCAGTATCTGCGGCAGACCAGGTCAGTATCTGCTGCACATCAGGTCAGTATCTGCTGCAGATCAGATCAGTATATGTGTTGGTATCTGTGTCAGTATCTGCGACGGAGCAGGTCAGTATCTGTAAATATCTGTCAATATCTGCTGGAGACCAGGTCAGTACCTGTCTGCGGTATCTGCGGGGCTGTTGTGTATCACATCTGTGCCGCCGCCCGGTCTCTGTCAGTAGGGTCAGCTGTCTGACGCCGGTCCCTCCCCAGCGGTGACGTGCGGTACCCCCTGATGGTCAGCTCTCTATACTGACCCCCTGTCCCTCTGTGTCCCCCTATGTACAGTGACGCTGTACCGGACCCCCGTCCTGTCTGCCCCCCCCCCCCTGTGTACAGTGACGCTGTACTGACCCCTGTCCTCTGTGTCCCCCCTGTGTACAGTGACGCCGTACTGACCCCCGTCCTCTCTGTCCCTCCTATGTACAGCCCACCGCTAAAGTAATGTAGGGTTTTACCAATCTCAACGGTTGGCTTTGACTGGCGATTGTTTAATGCGGAGTGATCGAAAAGAAGATGTCAATAGCTAAAGTTGCAGCTGCAAGGGAGACGATACATATAAGCTACATTCAAAGTTTCATTGTAGTCTGGCTAATCGTTCCTAAGCTTCAGAAGCAGAACATACCCATGACTGAAACCCCACATTACTTCTGCTGTGGACTGTACAGTGACGCTGTACTGACCCCCGTCCTCTCTGTCCCTCCTATGTACAGTGACGCTGTACTGACCCCCGTCCCCCTGTGTCGGGTGTCCCCCCTGTGTGCAGTGACGCTGTACTGACCCCTGTCCACCTGTGTCCCCCCTGTGTGCAGTGACGCTGTACTGACCCCCGTCCCCCCTTTGTACAGTGACGCTGTACTGACCCCCGTCCCCCTGTGTCCCCCCTGTGTACAGTGACGCCAAGGAGCTGCAGTCGTGGGTGGACACGGTGAATTTCGTGGCGGCCAGTCTCTCCTCGCCGCCTCTGCCGGGCGCCGTGGGCAGTCAGAGACGCTTCCAGCGACCGCTGCTGCCGTCCGGAGTCACCTCCCGCAGCCTGGTAATGTTAACCAGAGCAGACTGGTAATGTCACACACCACAGACTGGTAATGTCACACACCACAGACTGGTAATATCACCCACCACATACTGGTAATATCACCCACCGACTGGTCACCGACTGGTAATGTAACACACTGTAGACTCGTAATGTTAAACACTGCAGCCTGGTAATGTCACCCACCGCAGATTGGTAGTGTCATATACCAACCGCTTAACACTCCGCAGCCTGGTAATGTCACTCACCGACTGTTATGTCACACACCGCAGACTGGTAATTCCACACACCAAACTGATAATGTTACACACCAACTGGTAATGTCACACACTGTCGACTCGAAATGTCTCATTCCACAGACTGGTAACGTCACACACCGCAGCCTGGTAATATAATCCACGGACTGGTAATATCACACACCGACTGGTAATGTCACACACTGCAGACCCGTAATGTCACACACTGCAGACCCGTAATGTCACTCACCGCAAACTGGTAATGGCACCCACCGCAGGCTTGTAGTGTTACACACCGACTACTAATGTCACACTCCGCGACCTGGTAGTGTCACGCACCAGCAGGTAATGACACACACCGCAGACTGGTAATGCCATGCATTATCTGGTAATATCAGACACTGCAGCCTGGCAATTTTACAGCTTGGTATTATAACGACCTTGCAATATTACAAGATGCCCAGTGTATCATTGCTTAGTGATATTACAGCCCGATAATCACAGACTGGTATTGTGTCACCGCCTGCTGATATGACTGGGGCTGATGTGTGGCAGTATGGCAGCCCGGTACCCGCCGGTCGTCTCACACTGACGGGACAGTGCCACGGCCCCGCCGTCCGTCCGTACACGTACGGCCGGCCTGTGACACCCCGGCGCGGCCCGTAGTACAGCACGATCAGCCCGTACAGTGCCACGGCCCGCCGTCCGTCCGTACACGTACGGCCGGCCTGTGACACCCCGGCGCGGCCCGTAGTACAGCACGATCAGCCCGTACAGTGCCACGGCCCGCCGTCCGTCCGTACACGTACGGCCGGCCTGTGACACCCCGGCGCGGCCCGTAGTACAGCACGATCAGCCCGTACCGTGCCACGGCCCGCCGTCCGTCCGTACACGTACGGCCGGCCTGTGACACCCCGGCGCGGCCCGTAGTACAGCACGATCAGCCCGTACAGTGCCACGGCCCGCCGTCCGTCCGTACACGTACGGCCGGCCTGTGACACCCCGGCGCGGCCCGTAGTACAGCACGATCAGCCCGTACAGTGCCACGGCCCGCCGTCCGTCCGTACACGTACGGCCGGCCTGTGACACCCCGGCGCGGCCCGTAGTACAGCACGATCAGCCCGTACAGTGCCACGGCCCGCCGTCCGTCCGTACACGTACGGCCGGCCTGTGACACCCCGGCGCGGCCCGTAGTACAGCACGATCAGCCCGTACAGTGCCACGGCCCGCCGTCCGTCCGTACACGTACGGCCGGCCTGTGACACCCCGGCGCGGCCCGTAGTACAGCACGATCAGCCCGTACAGTGCCACGGCCCGCCGTCCGTCCGTACACGTACGGCCGGCCTGTGACACCCCGGCGCGGCCCGTACAGCGCGACCGGCGACTGGGAGGACCGTCTGACACGAACTGTCTGACACGGGCCGACTGACACGGACTGACTGACACGGACCGTCTGACACGGACCGTCTGACACGGACTGTCTGACACGGACTGTCTGACACGGACTGTCTGACACGGACTGTCTGACACGGGCCGGCTGACACGGGCCGGCTGACACGGGCCGGCTGACACGGGCCGGCTGACACGGGCTGTCTGACACGGGTCGGCTGACACCGGCCGTCTGACACGGGCCGGCTGACACGGACTGTCTGACACGTACTGTCTGACACGGACTGTCTGACACGGGCCGTCTGACACGGACTGTCTGACACGGGCCGTCTGACACGGACCGTGTCCCGTTCCAGCACGACCAGCTGCTGGGCCACGAGGACCGGCTGGCGGAGATCGAGTCCGAGCTGTCGGAGCTGGACGCCGCCACCGACCCGGAGGGCAGGCCCAGCCACCACCAGCGGCAGTACCAGCGGCACAAGGCCGCCTTCCTGCAGACAGAGGTCAGTCAGGGGTCGCACAGACACGGTCAGTGCGGTCATACAGAGGTCAGCGGGTCATACAGAGGTCAGTGGGTCATACAGAGGTCAGCGGGTCATACAGAGGTCAGCGGGTCATACAGAGCTCAGTGGGTCGTACAGTAGGTCTATTAAAAAAGTCCCCAGCACCAGTGGGCGCTGCCTTCGCTGAGCCGAACCCCCGTCTGCCCGTCCCATATCGCGCCGGGCTCAGGTCAGGTAGGGTCAGCGGGACCGCTCGGTCCGGCCCGCGGGCGGTGGACGGGCGGCCGGTAACGCTTTCCACCAGCCAGCTGTAGAATCCAACAAACGGGACGGCCACCGCTCAGCGCAGCGAAACCGGTGTTAAAGAATGGCAGTAGATGTTCATGGCCACAATGATTATGAGACAGTCATTGTTAGCCCGTGCCCTACAGGAATGCCTTGACTCTCACGCCCTGTTGGAGGGGAAATGGGGATTGCGCATCATTCTTATAACTCAGCTTTGGGCATTTAAGTGGTTTTCGAAGTAGCGTCAAAAGTAGCAAAAAGAAGAAAAAAATACTTCAGCCAATTTTGGATCGGGTCATAACCAGAGGTCATGTCACTAGAGGTCATCGATGGTATAATTTGCTTAGACAGGGTGCGTTGCGCGCACCGGTGCATTGGGTTTCCAATTTCCATGGAAACATCAACAGACTCGAAAGCTCGCAACAGGGGCGCGGGAACTACTTTCCGACTGGGGGCACACCATAATAGAGATCAACCTAGGGTCCCCTCAAATCTAGTTTTCTCACCATTTTAGGCCACTTATTTTTCATCCCTCGGCTTTTTCAACAAAAAAAGAAAACATTTGCAAAAAGTGTGATATTCCGTCTCAAAGCTGTGGGGGCACCGCCCCTACGGCCCCACAGTTGGGGGGGGGGGGGGCAAGCTGCCCCCACTGCCCCCCCCCCGGCTCCCGCGCCTATGGCTCGCAACGCTAGCGTGGAGCCGAATTCATATCAACCGCCGCAACAATGCAGCAGCGCAGCGCAGCGTGCTGCAGCGCGGGGCCGTGAAACAACGCCCAGGGCTATCCATGTGTCAGGGCAATCCAACCCACGTGATGGGCTCGGCCCCAGCGGAGCATGAGGTCCAGGACTCCCGCCCACGCCCCCTGTCTCCCCCTAATTCCTATCATCCTTCCACTCTGAAATCGACCGAAAGAGCCCAACCTAACACAACAATCAGCTTGTTTACCGCTATGTCTGAAATCTGAATAATATTGTCAGATTTAATTAGGGTCAACAGCTTAGCATGTAAATAACAACAACTGCCACCATCGGTATTATGAGAAAACCAATTGCTTTTCCACAAACAATTAAAAGTTGTTAGCTTAAAACTTGCATGAAATTAATTTTACCAGCCTCGTGTTCCTCTTATCAAAACGCTTCGAATGAATCAAAAGTTGATCTTTAAAGGTCATTTGAAAAATTTGGCCTACCTATGTTCAAAGACATGACCTGACCAGAAATGGTCATAATGCATAGCAGGATATTAGATCCGTATCGTGGAACTTTACAAACACTTCAGATGATTTCATAACTTAAGCATGTCTATCAAAAATAATTATTACATGGCTCATATGTAAGCTGGGTGTGTGAACATGCTTGCGAGTATGTTGAACGCAATTGATAATGTTCTGTTGGCCACAATTTCTATATTTAATTTATCCTCCCGAATTTCAAATTTTTGTTAATGACACCTTGATGGTGTCGAGGAAAAAAACGCTTAGGAGATTTAACAGCCTGAGATACATTCAGTATAAGGAAGGTTCAAGGGTGCTAGATTCCTTCCGTCCTCGCTATCCTCAGGAAGACCAATCCGCATCGCCCCTAGTCTTCATGCTTCCATCTCTGGACTGGAGGTCACCCCACCAGCCAACCTGTAGTTGATGTCGGATCCATTCCAGGACACATAATCCTCTTCGGGTGACCGTTTGGGAGACGGCTGGACCGTCCCGACAGGGCAATCGTCCCACGGGAACAGTCTCGCTTCCGCAGATCACTGTCGCTGGCTCGCACAACCCAATTACTACACCACAGCATAGTTATGTCATAGCTCTGCAAGGGCCTTTTCAGACCGAAAAAGATAGCCCCCAACAAAACAAACAATTTTCTCATTCAGTATTGTATCTCATCAAGCGCCACATGTTTTCAGAGTGTTTATTATGCGTTCCGTCCAAAAAAGTGCAGTTCAATTTTCTCCCATTGACTTGAGGTTGAGCGATCTCAAAATTGACCCGGCCTTTCTGTCAACAATGTCAAACTTGCAAAGTAAACGTTTCAAATACATATACTGTTGCCCATTAAAATCGCTGAAAGTTCTGAAGCGATCGGTTAGTCGGTGTATTCAGCTATGATGAGCACAGGAACTTTCCTTGAGGTAAGGTCACTTGACGTAACCTGATGTTATGACCTTGAATTGAAAGACTTGGGCGGGAAAAAATGGGTCATTTGAAATCTTAAAATGCTTGATTTTAACAATAATTGCAAACACATCCCGGCCAAATAGTGAGTGAGAAGGGAGCGATTCCCCGATCCCATGTTTAGCTTATATAATTGAGCTAGCTGCTAGAGCCTCGCGGAAAAAAAAAACGAGCGCTTCCGTCGTTACGTGACGCAGCGACTGGCACCCCATTTTAAAATATCGGTGACCTCTTAGGGCAGGTCAAGGGCCCCAATGCATTTGATCGGTTCTTGGTAAATAACTAAGCGCATTATCGTCATTTCGATACAATTGTGTTTTCTGTTCTCAGACGCGTCGATTTATATGCTTTTTTGTTTAGGTGAAGCAATTTAGGATGTTTACCTCAGGTCAGTGTCATGTTAGGGCAACGCAGGTCGCGAAGCTGTTGAAAGGAGGACATGTTGCATAACATTTGATTCGGCAAGTCTTGCGTCCATTGATGGCCGTCCCGACTGGCTAGCTCATTTTGATCGGGAGTTATTGACGACGCACTCCTATGACCCTAGTGACGTCATAAATGACGTCACGCAAGGTGAACAATGCAAAAGTGAAGCATTAGACCTTGCCAAGAATGTATGAAGTCACGATTTCATGTGCTTGAGGTATAGTTTCAGATCATTTCCGACGCCAAATTAGAGTTTCCATAATTCCCCATTATGCTTATACGACACTAAGTGCATTGCGGATTGCATCATTTTATAATTCAACCGTGCAGAGGTTTACCGTCATAGTTATAGACGTCATAGTTAAGACGTCATAGTTAAGTGACCTGACCTGAAAACGTGGTTGATGTCAAGTGATCCGGCTTGAATGAAATGTAAGGCATGTGAAATGTCAGCCTTCTATCATCAGTGTGCTTTGAGCTACCGCAAAAAAATGCATGGTGGCGGCATCCACCCCTTCTTCTCGGCCGGCGAGGGTTAAACCTCGCTTCGAATTATTGCAGATAATGATGTGACCGAAAACAAAGCATTATTCTGTGTCTAGAACGGCCGCTGACTTGTTGGACAAGATCCCCAATCTTAACCCGCGCCCCACTGGGGGGGGGGGGCTATTTATAGCCCCCCCCCCTCCCGTTTTTCTGCAATAACTTCCAAACCGCTTGACGGATCGACGCCACACTTTCAGTACCTTCGGCTGCATCAATTTGACACCTTGTGTCAAAATTTGAACTTCGTACCTACCATAGGTCGGCCGGAAATGGCGTCAGAGTGACGTCATGTTCGTCCGATTTCGACGCAAAACATTGAACCACGGCAATCGCTCCCAAGAGCTCAGTTTTTAAGCTAGATCCAATTTCTTTGCATGAAAGGACTCAGAATTGACCGCGCTATCAAACTGCTATCTCGGATTTTCAAAATTTTGAAAATTTCGAAAATTGTATATAATAATATTCAAAATTTATATTTTTATATTTTTTTTCAAAAAGTTTTTGACTTTTCGAAAAAAAACCAGAATATATGTGACAGAATGCATGATTATGACTAACTCTAGCAAGTTTTAGCTAAATATCTTCAAAAATGGCCAAGTTATACGCATTATTGCAAAAAATTCACAATTATTAATTTTTCAAATCAATTTTTCAGTACGTATTTGACATCGTACACCAATATAAATGGCACCATCGTGTTTCTGAGCTCAAACTGCATCCAATAGACACCTTTTTGTTGAAAAATTTTAACTTCAAAATTTCACCTTTTTTGACCTGAAAGTGATCTGACCTAACCTAATTTGACTCAAAATGACCTCGAATGACACAGACGACATCAAATTCGAAATATATGGCCTAAATGGACCATAAAACATGTGTCACGTGACCGACGCATGATATAATATTTTCGTGACCTGTGATGACCTGACCCTGACCTGAAAATCAAAGTACAAGTTTGGTACCCTCAAGGTATCTAGAGCATCTGTTCACGAGTGTGGAAACCAAAAATGAGCCTGATCTGACTTGTAAGACGGCGGCCAGAGCCCAAAATGTGAACAAGCAAAAATGCTAATAATTTTTACTTTGACCTGACCTGTGACGTCATCAGTGACCTCGAGGTCAATGAAATTAGGTCTCGCTCGACAGTTTTTCCGGGGCTATCAGACGCCGTTTGAATTTTGACGATCGGCCCAGTAGTTTCGGAGTTAAGAGGGGGGGCTATGAATAGCCCCCCCCCCCCCCCCCCCCAGTAGGGCGTGTTATACACAGACCCCAGTGGGGCGCGGGTTAATTCACTAGATGGGAATAAAACACTCGGTATGTGATACATATAACTAGTTATACCCCTCGATTTGCCCTCGCGCTTAGTCTATTCTAATCATCACTGTCGCATTTTTATCAGAGATGATGTCGCCGCTAAACGGGTTGTTTTGTTTGCTTGCTTGCGCTGAATTGCCATTACAGATTATTGAAGGATTATGCTAAAATAGGAATGGGGCAAGGGAGGATATGCACTGCAGGTGTTTAATTTAGATCACAAAGGCATCATTTCCGGCATCGTGCAGAGTCATTATCTTCCCCTCCTCTGCACTGCGGCATCTCTGCGCCCCACACACGGCGTCCTCACTCCACGGCCGGCCGCCGCCAACTGACCCACTCGCCGGGCGCCGCGACCTGACCCGTGTTGCTGCCGCGGCCTGCGCAATAGAGTCGGGGCTGGAATCCGGGGGTTCGGCCGGCCGGCCGCCTCTGGAGCGGGGGACTTTTTTAGTAGACCTACTGTACAGAGGTCAGTGGGGCACCGGGCTATCGCACCTGAGATCGTTCAAGGAGATGGGACCCGCCGTCCCCATCCCATGTCCTCCCTGTGTACCGCGATGCTCCCCTGTGCCACCGTCCCCGCTCGCCCCGGTGTCACGTGCCCCGGTGGTGCCCCCAGGCGGTGCGGTACCGCACCTACTGCCAGCTGCTGCGCTCCAAAATGGCCGCCGAGCCGCCGCCGCCAGCGCCCCTGGCGGCCGCCGCCGCAGTCTCGCCTACCGCAGCAGCCGACAGAGGGCGGCCCGGGCGGACGGCCGACAGGTACAGTTATATGCAGGCCGTGCGGGCCGGAATGGACTAGTGGCGCCACCCTGGCGGTGGTCTCTGCTACTGCAGCTGCCCGGTCGTCCGAGAGGTGGCGGTGCGCTCGGGACTAACCCTGGTGGTCGGGACGGGTGTGAGTGTGTGCGGTGACGCTAACACAAGGCTGCGAGCCGCCGGGGCGGGCAGAGCTGCGGGATATCAGTCACAGCGAGACCGGCAGAGCTGCGGGATAGCAGTCGCAGCGAGACCGGCAGAGCTGCGGGATAGCAGTCGCAGCGAGACCGGCAGAGCTGCGGGATAGCAGTCGCAGCGAGACCGGCAGAGCTGCGGGATAGCAGTCGCAGCGAGACCGGCAGAGCTGCGGGATAGCAGTCGCAGCGAGACCGGCAGAGCTGCGGGATAGCAGTCGCAGCGAGACCGGCAGAGCTGCGGCATTCGCTTGCTGTCAAACCAGGCCCTGACTCCTCCTATCTCCGTTTGACTGCGACTCTGACTCACCGCCTGACTCCCGCCGTGACCATACTACCGACAATACTCTCCCGGCCTGGTCTGAGGCTGGTGCCCCGCCGCGGACAGACCACGGACTGCCGCGTGGCGCCGACTGGGGTCCGTCCCCGTACACTGGAGGCGATCCCAGCGGGCGGGCAGCGGCCACCCGGCGCCGGCCGCCGGCCGCCGGGCGGTGTCTGCTGGCGGGACAAACTGCAGGGGCCAGCTGTCCCCGCGGTGAGCCGATATGCAGCCTCCGCCCCCGGCGCCGCGGCGCCCAGCGCTGCGCGCCCAATCGACAATAACGCCGTAACATTATCATCGATATATGCACGTATCGACAATAGCTGTACGAGACAATACGCCGACAGGTCTGTGGCCCCTATCGGTGGGCTATCGGTGGGCTATTGGTAGGCTATCGGTGGGCTATCGGTGTATCGATAATTGACGCTGGCCCGGCGCCCCCACTCAGCGGACTGCGGCGGGGAGTCTCCGCCAGAAATCCACAGTGTGTGGCGATATATGTCTGCAATTATCTGGACATCTGGCTACTTTTGGACCGTGTCCAGGAAATTCCCCAGTGTATGACGATATATGTGTAAATCTCTGGACATCTGGCGACTTTTGAACCGTGTCTGGGAAATGTGCGATTGTTTTGCGCCGAGCGTCTGTGGTATACGTTGGGGAGACGCGGACGCCATATTACCGCGGTCTGCCAGCGGCTGACCGTGTCAGTCGCGGCCTTCCTGTGATTATTTGACCGCCTCCAGCGCCGCCATATTGTGAGGGCCGGCGGCACAGCCCTGCGGCTCGGTTAGTGATTATTTTACCGCCTACAGTAGGGTCATACTGTGTGCGGCGGCAGGGCCGCCGGTCCATCATTACGCGTACGGTGCTGAGCTGTGTGGCTGTAAGATGCTAAATGCCAGCGCACGGCTGCTCAGTGCATATAATGCCGCGTATTGGGCAGCGGGGCGCACTCCGTGCTGTTAGATCTGCGCTGAATCCCGGCTGCGGGGCGTGCCAGGTTTTTACTGAATCTCACTGGGTCGGCCCGGTTGCCAATAACGGGACGTTTCGCGGCCGGGCGCCGTGCTGACCGTGCGATGCCGCGTTCCGTAATTGTCTGATGCGCCGTGTACGGTAACGGCCGAGTGATCCGATGAGCGCGCGCCTTTTCCAAATGTCTGTGTGTTGGGCAGTGCGCCGGTCGCCGGGTTGAGTCCCGGCTCTGACGGCGCGGGGGGCGGCCGAGCGGCCAGTTTTGTAGACGCCGTGTGCCATTGAAATACATGCCGTACCGCTAGCTGAGGTGGTGGGAGGACGCGCCGCGGGACGGCAGCTGGGCGCGGCGGCCTGTCACCGGCCAGCCAGCCGTCCAGCCGCCCACCGCGGTACGGCTGGCCGCACCGTCCCGGCCTGGGGGAGGGGGCGGGCCGGCCGTCCAGCCGCCCACCGCGGTACGACTGGCCGTACCGTCCCGGCCTGGGGGAGGGGGCGGGCCGGCCGTGCAGCGGTGCCGTCCCCTGTACGGCGCTCTAGACGACCGTCTGCAGCTGTAGCCGAGCCTTTGTGTCTTTAGATTGCTTTAAACTCTGTTTTCTCGGTAGATTTCTGCCTGATTTCTATCTTGGTGATGGTGTTCTCTGAGCTAACTCTGTTCCCGCACTTCACCGTCCCAAAATAACTAACAGCCGTGCTGTGCGGACCCTCCCCGCCGCCGTATAGCGGCTGACGCTGGTCACGGCCGCCCGCGTGTCAGACTGAGCTCCGCGGCGGGCTGCCGGGCCCCTCCGCCCACTGCTCCCGTAGTCTGTGTGGTAGATTCTGCGGCTCCACTAACAGCGCTGCACGGTGACGGGAGGTGACGTCACCGGCCGTACCGTCCAATCGGTGAGTGCGCCAATCTCTTTTGCCATCAGCTGACCCTGCGCCGACCAGTATAGACCAGTACAGACTGGCTTCGGCAGGCTTTGTATGGCCTGAAGTGTCTGATAGGTATAGGTGTAAGGTGACGTTTCCATTTGGCTAGTTTCTTCACTGTTCATGTGTGTTGCATCATAGATCTCGAGCAGCTTTTGATGAAACTTCTGAAAACTCAGCCTTATTTTTCAATGGAAAAGCAATCTTAACGAAATGCTTGAGCTTTTAATCACAAATGTTGGATGATTCCTATTTTCCGTGTGTCTATGGGTATATGCGTTATGTATGTGTGCCATCCCTTGACCTCTCCCTTTCTACCTATCCCCGGGGAGGAGGAGCCCTCTGACCTCTCATTGTGTACCTGTACTACTATCCCCGGGGAGGAGGAGCCCTCTGACCTCTCATTGTGTACCTGTACTACTATCTCCGCGGAGGAGGAGCCCTCTGACCTCTCATTGTGTACCGCAGCGCTGTCTCCGCGGAGGAGGAGCCCTCTGACCTCTCCCTGTGTACCTGTACTACTATCCCCGGGTAGGAGAAGCCCTCTGACCTCTCCCAGTGTACCTGTACTACTATCCCCGGGGAGGATGAGCCCTCTGACCTCTCTCAGTGTACCTGCACTACTATCCCGGGGAGGAGGAGCCCTCTGACCTCTCCCAGTGTACCTGCACTACTATCCCAGGGGAGGAGGAGCCCTCTGACCTCTCCCAATGTACCTGCACTACTATCCCCGCGGAGGAGGAGCCCTCTGACCTCTTCCAGTGTACCTGCACTACTATCTCCGGGGATGAGGAGTCCTCTGACCTCTCCCAGTGTACCTGCACTACTATACCCGGGGAGGAGGAGCCCTCTGACCTCTCCCTGTGTACCTGCACCACTATACCCGGGGATGAGGAGCCCTCTGACCTCTCCCTGTGTACCTGCACTACTATACCCGGGGAGGAGGAGCCCTCTGACCTCTCCCAATGTACCTGCACTACTATCCCCGCGGAGGAGGAGCCCTCTGACCTCTCCCAGTGTACCTGCACTACTATCCCCGGGGATGAGGAGTCCTCTGACCTCTCCCAGTGTACCTGCACTACTATACCCGGGGAGGAGGAGCCCTCTGACCTCTCCCTGTGTACCTGCACCACTATCCCCGGGGAGGAACCCTCTGACCTCTCATTGTGTACCGCAGCGCTGTCTCCGCGGAGGAGAAGCCCTCTGACCTCTCATTGTGTACCGCAGCGCTGTCTCCGCGGAGGAGGAGCTCTCTGACCTCTCCCTGTGTACCGCAGCGCTGTCTCCGCGGAGGAGGAGCCCTGTGACATCTCCCAGTGTATCTGCACTACTATCCCCGGGGAGGAGGAGCCCTCTGACCTCTCCCAGTGTACCTGCACTACTATACCCGGGGAGGAGGAGCCCTCTGACATCTCCCTCCGTACCTGCACTACTATACCCGGGGATGAGGAGCCCTCTGACCTCTCCGTGTACCTGCACTACTATCCCCGGGAAGGAGGAGCCCTCTGACCTCTCCCAGTGTACCTGCACTACTATCCCCGTAGAGGAGGAGCCCTCTGGCCTCTCCCTGTGTACCGCAGCGCTGTCTCCGCGGAGGAGGAGCCCTCTGACCTCTCATTGTGTACCGCAGCGCTGTCTCCGCGGAGGAGGAGCCCTCTGACCTCTCCCAGTGTACCTGCACTACTATACCCGGGGAGGAGGAGCCCTCTGACCTCTCCCTGTGTACCTGCACCACTATCCCCGGGGAGGAACCCTCTGACCTCTCATTGTGTACCGCAGCGCTGTCTCCGCGGAGGAGGAGCCCTCTGACCTCTCATTGTGTACCGCAGCGCTGTCTCCGCGGAGGAGGAGCCCTCGGCCGCCGCCGGCTCTGGCGCCACCAAGGAGCACCTGCTGTCGGCTAAGAAGCAGCGGCGCCCCACCCCGGACCAGGCGCAGACGGGGCAGACAGTGGCGGACAGCGCCGCGGGAGCAGACGGCAGCGTGCCGCCGCCGGACGGGGAGGGTGCGGCCGCAGCTGAGCGGCCGGCCACCGGTACAGCCGCCCAGGGTACTCCTGCCACCGGTACAGCCGCCCAGGGTACTCCGGCCACCGGTACAGCCGCCCAGGGTACTCCGGCCACCGGTACAGCCGCCCAGGGCACTCCGGCAGGCGCCTCAGCCGCCGCAGACGGTGAAGTCACCGCCAAGAAGAAGCGCCGCTGGTGGCAGAAATGAGCCGCTCCGTTAGAGGCCAAACGGCGCGGCTGGAGGCCCGCTCCGGTAGAGGCCGAACGGCCGCGGACCGGACCGGACTTTGTTAGAGGCCGAGCCGCGGACCGGGTCGGACTCTGTTAGAGGCCGAGCCGCGGACCGGGCCGGGCCTGACTCTGTTAGAGGCCGAGCCGCGGACCGGACCGGGTCGGACTCTGTTAGAGGCCGAGCCGCGGACCGGACCGGGTCGGACTCTGTTAGAGGCCGAGCCACGGACCGGGCCGCTGCAGGAGACCCAGCGGCCGCGGACCAGGCCGCTGTCTGCGCCTGTGTGCCCCCGCTGGCCTGTCTGGGCCGGTGTGTGTGTGTCTGTCTGCTCCCCAGTCCGTCTGTTTCTGTGTTACCAGCCGGCGGAGGTGTGTGTTCGCCGCGGCCCGCAGTAACACGGTGTGCTCCCCGCGCTAACCCCGGCTGTGCCCCCCGGCCGGTTAGGCCGCCATTAGTCGGCGCGTCTGCCCCCGCCCGGAGAGTTGAGTCACGGCGCCGCCTGTGTGATTTCAGTGCCACTGGCTCTGCCGGATATTGCGCCGTTAGATGTGTTGGATATGACGTGAGTAGGTACTGGTAGGCGCCGCCGTGTCAGTGGCCGTGTGTCTGTGTGTCTGTGTGCTGAATGTAGGTACAGAGCTACAATACAAAAACCGGCGGAAACTCTGTGACTGCTTCAGGGAGCTCAGGGATGTGACAGGGAGGAAAGAGGCGTCCATCGCGGCAGTGCCAGACGTGTATTGACCACAGCGGAGTCCCGGTACATACACTGGCGACTAGGTGGCGCTGGCACTGGCACACGGCCCGACCGGTTCCTGTACTGACAGGGTCACATGACCCGCCCCCTGTACTGACCGGTCCGCCGGCGCGGTCACAGAGCTCAGGACCCTGTTCAGAGTACAGTACTCACAGCAGAGACAGGCACCGGGTCCCCGCCAGGGCCGGGCCGGGTCCCCACCAGGGCCGGGCCGGGTCCCCGCCACAGACCGCCACCCCCCCCCCCCCCCGCCCCCGCCCCCGCCCCCGCCAAGGGCCGGACCGGACCGGGTCCCCGCCACGGACCGGACCGGGTCCCCGCCAGGGTCGGGCCGGGTCCCCGCCAGGGCCGGCACCGTGTCGCAGTCAGTGGCCGGGGGGTCGGCTGCGCCCCCTCTGCGCCGCGCCGCGGGCCGACGACTCCGAGTCGTCGCTGCTGACTCTGCGGCCGGCCCGACTCTGACTCGGCAGGCTCAGTGACTCCGGACACGGGTGGAGCTCCGCCTGCCGGGACACCGAGTCGCTGAGTCAAACCACCTAGGCACAGAGTCACTGAGTCAAACTACTGGGACACACCGCCGAGGCACAGTCAATGAGTCAAACCACTGAGACACAGTCCAACCACTGAGAAACACTGTCGTAACACCGAGACACCGAGTCAAACCACTGAGTCACGCTGCCAAGACGCAGCATCATATAGTCATCCCGCGGAGTCCCAGAGTCGCACTTCCGAGTCACGGAGTCGCCGAGTCACGCCGCCGGTGAGTCAGGCCGTGTACAGCGCTCAGTTCACTGTCACACTGCGACTGACGTCGACTCACGCTATGACTCTGTAGCGGCTCGTGCCCGCCGAGGCGCGCCCGGCCGGCCGGCGCCGGCGCCTTGCCGCCCAGGAAGCCGGCGATCCTCTGCCACAGGTCTCTCTCCGAGTCTGACAGCAACAACAGTTACCGGATCCAGTTATCACTGGGAAAGTGCGCACTTTACATAGCCAGAGGGTGGATACTGGATGTCGACTCCCCTGTCTGTATGTACAGTCTGTCTTAAAAATACCGCGCAAAGTGACGGTGGATCCATCAAGCCTGACTGAGGTAGGGCCTGCTATAATTTGAAAGTTACCGAACCGATTGACCTAGGGAATGGACGAGGATGTGAATTGCTTCGGTGACTCAAATTTAGTAGGCCCTTCCTCGGTCAGGCATGATGGATCCACCGTCACTTTGCGCGGTACTTTTAAGACAGACTGTACATACGCTGGATTCTGGGCTGACCCTGTCTTATAATTGCCAACTATGCCACCGGCCCCTGCCCGGCAACAGGCCAGGCCCGGGGACGGCCTCGGACAGCGCCGGCTGGAGGCTGAACACGCAGCAGCCCCTCCATTAACGACAGCCTCTTGTGGGGAGAGATACGTGAGCACTGAGCCCCGGACGGCCAGACATGGCCCTGAGCCGGCACTAGTACAGAGTACAACAGACAGGAGCCGGCACTGGTACAGAGTACAGACAGGAGCCGGCACTGGTACAGAGTACAGACAGGAGCCGGAGCCGGCACTGGTACAGAGTACAGACAGGAGCCAGCGCTGGTACAGAATACAGACAGGAGCCGGAGCCGGCACTGGTACAGAGTACAGACAGGAGCCAGAGCCGGCTCTGGTACAGAGTAGGTACAGACAGGAGCCGGCACTGGTACAGAGTACAGACAGGAGCCGGTACTGGTACAGGGTACAGACAGGAGCCGGTACTGGTACAGGGTACAGACAGGAGCCGGCACTGGTACACAGTACAGACAGGAGTCGGAGCCGGTACTGGTACAGGGTACAGACAGGAGCCGGCACTGGTATAAAGTACAGACAGGAGCCGGTACTGGTACAGGGTACAGACAGGAGCTGACACTGGTACAGAGTACATACAGGAGCCGGCACTGGTACAGAGTACAGATAGGAGCCGGCACTGGTACAGAGTACAGACAGGAGCCGGCACTGGTACACAGTACAGACAGGAGCCGGCACTGGTACAGAGTAGGTACAGATAGGAACCGGCACTGGTACAGAGTACAGACAGGAGCCGGCACTGGTACAGAGTACAGACAGGAACCGGCACTGGTACAGAGTACAGACAGGAACCGGCACTGGTACAGGGTACAGACAGGAGCCGGCACTGGTACAGACCCAGTAAACATGCCGACGTCGGCCCGACGTCGGCCGACGTCGGGGTGACGTCGGCAACTCGGCACCGGCATGCCGACGTCGGCCCGACGTCGGTCCAACCTCGGCACGACATCGGCTGGATGTCGGATATGCCCGCATGTTCCGACGTCCAGCCGAGGTCCAGCCGACGTCGGGCCGACGTCGGACCTTGATCAATTGCTGAGGTCCAGCCGACGTCGGGCCGACGTCGGACCGACATCGGCCGCTGTTTTGACCGTTAAAATAATACAAAATACATGTTTCATGTTTCATAAAGAGCTTCTGTATTCAAAATATCCTCAGGGAACTCAAATCTTCCTCCACGCCGCAACCCCCTGATCTGGACTGGACGGGAAACTTTATCCCATTCCCATTTGGGATTGCCCGTAAGCCGAGCTCGCCCGTAGCCGGGTGCGGTGAGTGCTTGGGGGCTGCTCGGCCTATCCTTTGGTCAGGCTCAGCCCCGGCAACTCACCAGGGCCGGGCCCAGTTCATATTGAAAGGCCAGTCGGCAAGTGTCACTTTGCCAAAGTGCCACTTATCAAAGGGACACTGTAAGCCGGAACTGTATTTCCACTGCTGCGGTCGGCACCTGCACACCGAACGACGCGCAAACCCGATCCTCCCCTCCGCCTGACCCTTACTGTCCGGCGGCCGCTGCAGATGGCCTTCGCCGCTGCCGGCCGCCGGCACATCCGAACTTTGACCCGCCTGCGCGCGCGCCAACATGAGCGAGCCGGCGAAACAGATCAGCGCTGCCAGTACACAGTACAACACAGTACAGACACTTTGGGAAACGTTGGTGCAGGTGTGTAAGAGTGGCTATATGAATCCATTGTGGGGTCGCCCTTTCCAATAAGTGTCACGTAACAGCAATGGGACCAGGGACTCTATATATGAACTGGACCCAGGGTGCTCGCCAAGAAGACCAATGTCTCCATCCTATGATCCTTCCGGGTCTGAAATGGTCTTATCAGACCGAAAGGGCATAAGGCAACAAGACAAATCGAATTATTTAGCTGGCTGCGTGGTGTAGTGGTTAGCGCACTAACCTCGCGTTCGAATGACACGGGGCTCGAATCCCATCGCCGGCTGATGCTTTTGGCGTGTTGTCCCAGTAAACATGCCGACGTCGGCGACTGGGGGGCTCGAATCCCGCCGCCGGTTGATATTTTTGGCGCGTTATCCAATAAACATGCCGACGTCGGCCCCGTCGGTCCAACGACAAACGATCTCGTCAACCTCGGCAAACGATCTCGGCCCGACGTCGGCTCGACGTCGGCTGGACTTCGGCTGGACGTCGGAACATGCGGGCATATCCGACGTCCAGCCGATGTCGGGCCGAGGTTGAACCGACGTTGGGCCGACGTCGGGCCGAGCCTCGGCCCGACGTCGGGCCGACGTCGGCATGTTTACTGGGGAGTACAGACAGGAGCCGGAGCCGGCACTGGTACAGAGTACAGACAGGAGCCGGCACTGGTACAAAGTACAGACAGGAGCCGGCACTGGTACAGAGTACAGACAGGAGCCGGAGCCGGCACTGGTACAGAGTACAGACAGGAGCCGGAGCCGGCACTGGTACAGAGTACAGACAGGAGCCGGCACTGGTACAGAGTACAGACCGGAGCCGGCACTGGTACAGAGTACAGACAGGAGCCGGAACTGGCACAGAGTACCTACCTACAGACAGGAGCCGGAGCCGGCACTGGTACAGAGTACAGACAGGAGCTGACACTGCTACACAGTACAGACAGGAGCCGGCACTGGTACAGAGTACAGACAGGAGCCGGTACTGGTACAGAGTACAGACAGGAGCCGGTACTGGTACAGAGTACAGACAGGAGCCGGTACTGATACAGAGTACAGACAGGAGCTGACACTGGTACAGAGTACATACAAGAGCCGGCACTGGTACAGAGTACAGATAAGAGCCGGCACTGGTACATAGTACAGACAGGAGCCGGCACTGGTACAGAGTACAGACAGGAGCCGGCACTAGTACAGAGTACCACAGACAGGAGCCGGTACTGGTACAGAGTACAGACAGGAGCCAGAGCCGGCACTGGTACAAAGTACAGACAGGAGCCGGCACTGGTACAGAGTACAGACAGGAGCCGGAGCCGGCACTGGTACCTACAGAGTACAGACAGGAGCCGGTACTGGTACAGAGTACAGACAGGAGCCGGAGCCGGCACTGGTACAAAGTACAGACAGGAGCCGGCACTGGTACAGAGTACAGACAGGAGCCGGAGCCGGCACTGGTACCTACAGAGTACAGACAGGAGCCGACACTGGTACAGAGTACAGACAGGAGCCGGAGCCGACACTGGTACAGAGTACAGACAGGAGCCGGCACTGGTACAGAGTACAGACAGGAGCCGACACTGGTACAGGGTACAGACAGGAGCCGGAGCCGGCACTGGTACAGAGTACAGACAGGAGCCGGAGCTGACACTGGTACAGAGTACATACAGGAGCCGGCACTGGTACAGAGTACAGACAGGAGCCGGAGCCGGCACTGGTACAGAGTACAGACAGGAGCCGGAGCCGACACTGGTACAGAGTACATACAGGAGCCGGCACTGGTACAGAGTACAGACAGGAGCCGGCACTGGTACAGAGTACAGACAGGAGCCGGAGCCGACACTGGTACAGAGTACAGACAGGAGCCGGCACTGGTACATAGTACAGACAGGAGCCGGAGCCGACACTGGTACAGAGTACATACAGGAGCCGGCACTGGTACAGAGTACAGACAGGAGCCGGCACTGGTACAGAGTACAGATAGGAGCCGGCACTGGTACAGAGTACAGATAGGAGCCGGTACTGGTACAGAGTACAGACAGGAGCCAGCACTGGTACAGAGTACAGACAGGAGCCGACACTGGTACAGAGTACAGACAGGAGCCGGAGCCGACACTGGTACAGAGTACAGACAGGAGCCGACACTGGTACAGAGTACAGACAGGAGCCGGAGCCGACACTGGTACAGAGTACAGACAGGAGCCGGCACTGGCACAGAGTACAGTAGGTCTACTAAAAAAGTCCCCCGCTCCAGAGGCGGCCGGCCGGCCGAACCCCCGGATTCCAGCCCCGACTCTATTGCGCAGGCCGCGGCAGTGACACGGGTCAGGTCGCGGCGCCCGGCGAGTGGGTCAGTTGGCGGCGGCCGGCCGTGGAGTGAGGACGCCGTGTGTGGGGTGCAGAGATGCCGCAGTGCAGAGGAGGGGAAGATAGTGACTCTGCACGATGCCGGAAATGATGCCTTTGTGATCTAAACAGGGGTGAAAAATTGTATCGTTTTGTCGTTGTCGACGACAACCGAGATGACGATCTTATGGCGACCACGCGCAGCGCCTGAACTGATTAACTCCTTCCGCTTAGTGCGGTTAGAAGCGCACAATCCATCCGCCTCTGCCCACGCAACCCAATCACCTCTGCCCACGCAAACCATTCTCTGTCCCTCCCCTCACATCGACTCGCAGTTCTCGAGTCCGTTACCTCCCGTACGCGGCGGCATCCCAATGGAAAATTTCCTGGTAGCTACAGACATATTCCAACTCCCCGTAGCTATTTAGTATATACTGCGTCGTTCGACCATCGTTCGGACGGCCGATCGGCGACCCTCATAAAGACGACCAATGGCATACCAAGTGGTCGCCGTGGTTGTCCGCTGGCAACACGTGTCTGGCAAATCTAGTACATTCCAGGACTCGGCCGGTCCCTGCCCGCACCCTTCAGCG